TAGCTTTTGTAAATCATTTCCTTAATTTTACTTTAACTTTTTTTTCATTTTTGAAGGGAGTGCAGGGAACTCCCCAAACCGTTGCCTGGATACGTCCATGCGGAAACTTATTATTATAAAATATTTAGTTTCCCTCTTTTGGAAAGGAGTAGTATTCCATGAGGGATCAAAGAGCATCTAAGAAATTTAGCCGGGAGTAACTATGAAAACTAGAGCTATCTTGTCGAGCAACACCTCTTCGGTGTTCTCTGTCTGAGAGATGCCTAGCGCGGATCATTGGTAACGGCGATCCGGGCGACCCTGGCGACCCCCGGACAGGCTGCGAAAGTGCGGGTTCGGTGGAAAAGGCTTTAAAAAAGCAGCCGAGAAAACGAACGAGTGCACGCGACCAAGATGGCGTCGCGGCCGGGGGCCCCGATATATGCGATAGACAGGATACGGGGGACGAGAACGCGCGAAGCAGGAATGGAAGCCGCAAAGGAGAATGGGGATAATTGCGCGCGAGGCAATGCACGAGGCTCCTCCCCTTATTCAAGCCTAAAGCCTGCAACTGCAAGTGCCAAGCTGCTCACTTTGCGGTGCGCACACATGACACGTTCGGCCGTTCACGACGCGCATCTCGCAACGTTGATGCCGCGCGCTCCGCCTTTGCGCTACCGCACCACAAGTGTGGTCATTACGTGTATACGAATGCCCCGTGTTATATACGTATGCACGTGCACATGTATATGCATGTGTGTGTGTGTACGTGTGTTTTGTACTCAACAATGGCCAGACTCCCTAGAAATCTGACTCACTCGACGATGCTCGTTGCGTACGTCGATCGATCCGCCTTTCTTCTTTCTAGATTGGGTGTTTTGATGTTTCGGGGGGGAAATTCGAGAAATGTCATAAAAGACGAATCATTCTTCTCTGTTTTGCATTATTTTCATCCAATGTTTCATATCGAATATATAACATACAAAAAGGAATTAATCATTAGATTCAGAATAAGTGAGAAGGTGAAAATACATGAAGCTTATTCTTAATTTAAGAATAATTTAATTATCCTTAAATTAAGAATAAGCTTCCTTAATTAGTTGGACATAAAATAAGTTTGTGCATAAATTTTGTGCATATTTCCTTTGTCAAAATAATTATCTTGTATACTTAATTTAATTTTAGTTTTATAGTAATCTCATTTAACAAGTGCTTTGAAAAAATCGAACTTTATTTTTTGGCAAGGCATATTGCATAAAAGCTTTTTTCAATCTAAGTATTAGAAAATATAAGAATCTATTCGAATTTTGTTATTTAAAAAGAAGTATTAGGCATAAAGAAAATTTTTTAAATTATCCACATTATAAATAAAAAAATGAATAGAATAATTCAAGATATTTGAAGATGTATCAAATAATAATCAAAACATTTTATATTAAAGCGTCATTATTAATTATTTTAGGTAAGAAAAGTAAGAAATAATTTACAATTATAATTTACAATTTTTATGCATAGAAGGCATAAAAAATGCGAAATTTATTACAACTTTTATTAATAATATTAAATGATTATTTCATAAGTGAAGATGTGCACACATTGAAGAAAAAAAATACCGTGCTGTTACGAAAGCCAATTTATATGTTGCTTTTGCACAAGCAATTTTCCCTCCGTAGTTTTCATAATTGAAGTATGTTCTTCCACGAGATGAGAATCTTTAAGATTAACGTAATGAAGTTCTGAGAAAGAATCGAAGACATACCATGGTAAAAGCTCAGCACGTTTGCGGCCATTATGAGAAGCAACATATCGATTATCTTCAAAAAAAAGTATCAAATGTATAAAATACAATATACATGTCTGTACATTAGCGTATAAGAGAAAAAGAGTGCCCTTTTAATTAATATATATTATTAATATTTTAAAAAATGTTTCTAATATTAAATTACTGTTAGATTATAATAAAAATTTATATTATTATGTTGTATTTTATGCAAGAAATTGCATATAAATGCAATAAATAATTAGCATAAATATTATAAAGTAAGTATAAAGATTACTAAAAATATTAAATAAATATTCACATTATTATGTATTATATTAACAACACAGATTAAAAATACTATTTTTGTCATAACTTCATGATATTATTTTACACATTTAAACATTTAATCATTTACACAGAACATTTAAACGTTTAAAAATCGATTAAAAACATTTAAACAATTTTTATAATATTAAATTTGAATTTTATCTACTCGTCTTATCAAATATTTATATAGCAGCGCTATATCATCATATATTTTATTATGTATGTAAATATTAATTAAAAATAATAAAATTATTATATATAACATGAATTGTAAAATATAAGATATATTTTATTTTAAATCTTTTTATAGCTATATTTACATTATGTAATTTAATAAATCAATTACATCAATTTTAATTACATCAACAATATTGTCAACATAATTGTCTTCTTCGCTTGCTTTTTTTTAATATATAACGATTAAATAATATTTACAACCTTGTGTTTGTAATTTAAAAAATAATTAC